AAAATTATACCTGGGTTTTAGGATGAACCTATATAGAAGAAAAAGAAGAACCCATGATTTCACATAACAAAGAAAAAACTAATCTCGATCCACAACAATCAAGACTCAAGAGCAAATTAAAAAAAAAAAAAAGCTTTCTTGCAAAACAAACCAATCAAGAAAGTAGAAACAGTTATTAAGCGTGATCTAGACGCACCAAAAGAGAAAAAGGGGCAAACCCCTTGTGTTTGTTTTCTTCTTCTTCCTTCACTGCCACCGCTTATTGAAAAGCCACCTCCCTTTCACCTAATAACAGTTTACAAAAACTGAATGCAATAAAAAATGATATCTTCTTTTTCTCTATTTCCCACCACTGACTGACATTCTGAGAATTTTGTTTGTCCTTTTCCTTCGATCTTTTTTCAAGATTTTAGGAAGATATATTAAGCAATTGGGAGTTATTATCACTGTGTTTGTCGATTGATGTGGGGGGCTTCCTTAAAATGCCGTATCTTGTAAATTTGCTAAAAATTGAAAAGAATAATAATATTAGAATCTAAACTCAAAATTAGAAAATGTGGAAAAGATTCTATTTTTTTTTTCTGAAGAAAAGATTCTTATCTTCAGTTAGCCACAACCTCACCTCTAATTTTTTCTTTAACATTTTTTTTTAAATTTTTGTGTGTCCTTCTTATATAAAGATCATGTTAATTTTTTTATATCATATAAATTTTATTAAATATCGTCAAATTAGACTTACAAAACTATAACGACCTCGCCATTTACATCGATGGCTTTTACCATTTTGACAATTTCAAATCATTGTTGTCATCCTTAGTTATAAATTACATGTTACTCTCCATGTCCGGAAGGTTCAATTTAGAGTGTTTACAGGATTAAATTAATTCGTACGAACAATTTAGATTCATAATATATATAAAATATTGCATTTTTTATAATAATAATAATTCATATATTAATGAATTTAATTGCATATCGCCAGACTTATGCTCAACGTGAATATATTATTTTTATCATGTGAAAAAGATTATGATAAAAGATATTTTTTTCGTTTCAAAAAATAATGACTTAGAACGGAGATTAAGAAAAAAAAGACTTTTTGATCTTGTATTTCTAAATTAAAGTTATATCAAATATATCAAAGTATTATTTAATATTTTAACTTTAAATATAATTTTCTAAAAAAAAATTATTCTCTTTGAAGAAATTAATTTTTTTTTAAAAAAACGGAAAGAGTAACTAGATATTATGTAGTCAATTATTGGTGAATGGGATCCCTAAATATGATAGATACTTCCATTTTGTCAACCAAACGGCCCCTTAAAGTCCACAATTATAAAGTTATGGTCCCACAAAGAATCCTAATCTAAATCTAGTGATCACTAACCAAACTTCCTTTTTTCGAGGGGTGCTTACGTTCGCTTTTATGTTTTTGTCTCCTTATCGAAAAATAAAAATAAGGAATCACGTATTATATATTATTCTCTCTCGATATTTTTAATTATCATAATTTTTATTTTTAAAGTTAAATTATAAAAAAAATTTAATTAACATTTTAAGATGTATAAATTTATCACATTACTATCAAAAAAATTTATAGTACTTTTCATATAATTTTTAAATATTTAAATTAACAATTAATGTAATTTAATTTAAATTTGAAAAATAATCAAATAACTTTTTAAAAATGTAAAATGAAATAAAAGTGGACGGAGGAAGTAATTGTATGAACTTAATTATAAAAAGGGAAGACATTTTTTTGTCACTAGTAGAGTTATTCTTTCATGCATCTCATTTTATTTCTCTTAAATTATTAAATTATTTTTACAATAAAAAATAATTAAAAAACAAATATTACTTATCGTTAAGATTCCGACCTAATCAAGATTCCTAAGTACGTGGTAATATTAATGTGAAAATGACACAATTATACAAGATGAGTCATCTCTTAACGTTGGCTTATTTGAAACTTTCTCATGCATCCACTACTCCTAAAGTCACAATCAAACTAATCTTTCAATAAAAAACAAACTAAGAAGAATTAACTTAATTAAAATAACCGTCCATTCAATCGCTTAAATTAGAAATAGCTAGTGAACATATATATATATATATGTAGAGAGAGATGAATAACAAAGTAAATAATGAATTCAACTAACTATGTGTATGAAAATCCTTTAAAATAATTCTTGTTGACGCAAATATGTGCAATTAAATAAATAAAATAAGGATATCCCAAAAGTTATAATGAAATCATAAGTATTCATTTAATTTTAATTAGAGATCTTGAATTCAAGCATCAAATATTAAATCACTTTTTACGAGAGCCATTTATCAAAATCGAAAAAAAAACCAGCAAGTTAGAACTTGGAAGGCAAAGGTATCAACCACAAATTCACTATTTAAGTAGATGAGACGTAACCCATGACTATTGGGGAGTTAACTTATTTGACAAAGTTGAATACATATGGCTTCTATTAAATGAATTATCTTTATGTAACTTTGCCAATTTGTAAAACTGCACCAATATATCATGGAATTGGAGCGACAATCAAGTCATCAATCAACAAATTGGGTTTTTAATTATCAAGTTTAAACTCCTCATCAAATTTACTACATGTATTAGAAAAATATTCTTAGAATTTAGTGGGAATGGTTAATCTCATCTCCAAGTTATTTTACTACATGTATTAGAAAAATATTTTTAGAATTTAGTGGGAATGGTTAATCTTATCTCCAAGTTATTGATAATTTTAAATTTTCTCTCGAATAAGGGCTTGTTTGGATCGACTTAAAAAATAGTTTTTAAGTCAAAAATAAAAAGTCAAACTGAAATGAACAAATAAAAAGTAGGGGGAGACCTACATTTGATTTTTGACTTATTTTAAGTCATTTTCAACTTATCATTTTTGACTTTGTCAACTTATTTTAATTTTTTTTGATAAATTTTTAGTTAATTTTTATATTTGTCAATAGTTCAAGAAGTCAAAATCTTAATTAAAAATAGGTTTGATCCAACTTTCAAGCTCATCCAAACACCCTCCAATTCAACTTAAATATACTCTCAAATAAGACACATGACATAACTAGTGGTGTCAAACTCTTGTAGGACTTATAATAAAAAAGTTGAGAGAAGCGTTAAAAACACTCCAATAAACTTGACAAGATTTCACGGTGTATTGCACCCACGTGACAAGATCAAGAGTGTATTTAAGTTCAATCAGTCAAGTAGAAGTTGTTAATAGTTCCGGGCAGTGGTGGAGCCACGATTTTCAATAAGGGGATTCAAAATTCGAAGAAGTAAGCATATAAACTAATCGAAGGGAGTTCGAGATCTATTATATACATCTGAAAAATAATTTTAACCATGTATATATAATAATATTTTCCATCGAAGGGGGTTCAACTGAACCGCTAAATACATGCTGGCTCCGCCCCTATTTCCATGGATGAAACTAATAATTCACGTTGTTTTTTAATATTTTTCAATTGACTTTACATGATATCCACCCGTTTTGCTTTATTTGATTCCTATATCAAAAGAGATATTTAATTCATTTTAACAAATTAAAGATTTTTTTTTCATGCTACCTTTAAATTAATGAAGTGCTTCACCTGTATCTATCAAGCTTTTAAGACTCTTGCTAACAAGAAGTTTACAGAAACACGCAATAGGTCAAATAAGAATTCAAGTTGCCATAAGGTCTTACCAAAAATAATATTTGGACATGAATATTTATAACTAAAATAAATATAGAATACTCAAAACTTTGACAAGCGAAAGTGTACGAGGAGAAACTTCTAAACTTTGAAAAATAGAAAGTTATTAAATCATGAAGCGCATGTAGTCGAATTTGAAAAGTTTTGAGCATTTGAAATTTTAAGAAAAATTTAAATATTTTAAACGTTAAAAACGATCATCGACTTTCAAACTTATCAAAGGTTCAATCTCCAAGATTTTGATGCAATGTAAAGTAGGTACTACATGTGGGATCCAAACCCAATATTGACTTCAACAATTGTTGTACGCAATTGTCAATGGTTGACAAGATTGACAAACAATTTTTAATTGACAACAAATGCTGAGAAACACAGCAATTGAAAGCTTTCGGTGGCACAATTTTGTCATATTGTGAATGGTTGCAGTGGCAAATTTCTTCTATAAAAATTGAGCTCACCAAGTTTGAGCGAAAAAACATTTTACAGCACATTGAGGGATTACATAAACTAAATAAGATATATAGTCTGTCAAGAAAAATAGAATGTGAACAATATTTTAGTAAAGTGATAAATTAAAAGATTGTTATTTCTTTTAAGTATATTGTAATCGCTTTGAATAATATATTAGTGACTACACAATATAAAAGTTCTTTGCTCTAGTGATATCAATTGCTTTTCTTGATTTGTGATTTTCCTTATTTAAAAGAGTTTTCACATAATAATTTTAATCATATATATTTGTGTTTTTCTAACACTATAGACCATTGAAATAATGAACAAATATGTGTAATAATGTGAAAAAGACTCTTTTTCACTCCTAACATGATCTCTTTTTATCTCAGGACAATGAAGTAAAACTTTATGATTTATAAAAAATCGATGGACATTCGTTGATTGTGGCATAAACTTAAGTAGTAACTGGCAGACTTGATTATGTCATAAAATGGTGGGTCGATTGAAAAAAATAAACGAACTATTGATTAAAATCGACTGATCATCATTGATTATATAAAATATATAAAATAAAAATCACGATCGAGTTTCACGACTTTTAAGAAATTATAATTAAAAAATCACCAAAATAAATTAATTGAGAAAAAAAATCCAGAATAGTCCAGCACATGGATTTTTTTTTAATCCTACAACTGATCTAAAACCAGAAAAAGAACTTGCAATGCTGTATCTGGCCATGCTCTAGGGTCCAAGTACTCAGTGCCATTGATTATCTATCCAGAATATTCAATGCATTATTGCACATGAGTTAGATTTCTGCATAGCAGTTTAATGTATAATTAATACTCCTTTCGTTCAACCGTGTTTGTCCATTATTGATCTTGCACACTTCTTAAAAAACTATAAATAGAAGCGTAGTGCTTAGAATATACTAAATAAGAAAATGCTTATTAACTCCTTGTGATTGCACTAAATAAAGCTTTTGGCTTATCACTATGTCAACAAAGGTTCTGTGAAGGGCTCTGGAAGTGAAGTTCTGAACTTTGTAAAACATGTAACAATGACTCCAACTAATGCAGCAACTCCCGGAATGAATCCCAATGAAAATCGCGTTACTGTGAAACATGGATATGCTGGATTGCACGATGCTGGTGTTACGCCTGCATAGGTGTAAACAGTTTCATTTCAAAGATTTAAATTTCATTCATGATATGCATACGTTTGAAGAGAACGAAAGATATAGCTTACTTTCGTATGACTCTAGAATGTACAGCATTACCCCACACAATACTTTCTCCACAAAGCCTAATGATCCATAAACAAAAGCAGATCCCTCAACTTCTTTATCAACTAGCTCACTTTCCATGCCTACTGAAGTTACCTGTTAACCACAAAAGAAAACAGAAACATCGCGATTTGACTGTCAAAATAGAAGAGTTTCCAGCTCTGAATTGCTAAATATAGGAGCCTGAGGACACTTTCTTGCATGAGTTAACTTAAGGTACAAAAAAAATGAACTGCAGCATACCATCATGAAGGCATTGGCGATTCCAATAACTACGGACAAGATGTACATAAAAACATTCATGTTAATCGGTAGGGAGAGTACTACTGCACTACAAAATAGCCACAGGAGGCCTCCTACTGAAAAGATGGCCTTCAATCTGTGATTGTTCCATTCGAGTTCCTACGTGCAACCAGAAAAGTAGTTAGCATACGCAAACAAAGAACAGGTCGAAAGTGAAGATCAAATGTGGAACAACCCCATAGAGAAAGAGAACCTGGAGAAAGATAGATGTAATGAAGCTGCACAAATAGATGATGGCAGGAACCTATTACATAATAACTCAGCCCGATTAGCATTATTTAACTGGAAGATACAAGTGTTGTCAATTTTATTCAACTCGATAACAATTCATACCAAAGCCTTGGAAGATTGGCTCATGTGTAGATCACTAATTACATAGAGAGCAAGAAACACCTGAGATTGCAAATATAAAACAGAAACTTAGAACAGAGAACTAATACATATGTGAATGATCGATAACATATAACTTAAAGAAGCTGGAAGAAAATTATAGTTACCTGAGATATATTCGTTACAACTCTAGTTAACACATAAATGCTAGCTACTCTATAATACAGGCCATTTTTCAACCATCGCTTCCAAGAAGAACCACGGCGATTTGTCTGGTGAGATACTTGTTTCACGCTGCACAAAAGATGCTTAACATTGTAATTTGTATCCTCATTAATGAAGTACATTCGAGCCTTCCAAATTAACAAGCGGACGAGTAGATAACAAACCTAGGCTCTTTAGTTCCAAGATGAAATAAAATTACAAAGAAGCATCCGATCAATACTGTGATAGTTGCCAACAAGTGGTACTGCAAAAGGAAGTGGTAAAGTACATTAACGAAAAGCACGTGCTCATGCATATAGAGGAACACTCCTGGTATTCATGTACCTGCTCTTTTATTTCAACTTGTTTCACGGATGAATTGAATATGAAAAATCCAATTCCATACACGATTAGGCTTGCGACCTTCCCAATTATTGGTTCACAGTAACAAGACAAGAGGTAAAAGGTTAGTTTGGTTTATATAGCGATGAAAAGAATGGTGCAACAGAGTACCAACCATTGTAAAAGCATTGCGGCAGCTGACACATGCAACTCTGCTTGTTTGATCCAGGGTAAGGCCATTCACCATTGCCCTTCAACAGAGAAGGCCAAGAAAATGTAGAACACATTTATCATTTTAGCCAAATAATCGAATGATTCTGTAGTAAAGAAAAACGAACACGAAAGTTGAGATGATTACATATGTGATACTTGAGTACAAGACCATCCACCACTGAAGAGTATATCAAACATATAATATCCAATCATTTGCACAAGAGGCGTATCGATCCCAATAATTTTGCAAGGAACACAAACACCCCAAAAAAACGAATAAAATGCAGCAGAGACAAGAACAGTCCCCACAGCATGCCATATTTTGAAATGTCCAAATCTGTCTATCTGTTGAGGGAAACAAAACAAGCAAAAACAATTCATGATCGGAAAATTTCTAGTGCATATCAAAAGCTTTAAGTGAAATATATAACAACTTCTCATGATATTACATTACATTTCTAATGAAAGAAAAAAGAAGGATCGCAATAAAAAAAATACCAGTTCTCCAGCAATTATGGTCATCGTTGCATCGGTGAATTGCGCTGTAATTGCAAGTGCTGCAACTTGTCTGTGAAATAGAACCAAATGAAGAGTCAAATCAACCAATCACACAAACAAGTATACTAAAGCCACTCATAGACTAACTCGATCCAAGACTTTGTAAGCCCTGAAATCAGGTATATTCTGATTAAATAATGCTCTAAACATTACACTTCCCTTTCCAAACTTTTTGATGTACATCACAATCCACTACAGCATCAAATTCATGAAATCCTTGTCACAACTCACAAGTAATAGTAGCAAAATCGAACAAAACTCTTTTATACCGAATTTAAATCCTTTTAACATTTGTTTTTTTTTCCAACAAAACAAAACCTACCAAGGTGTGTAATGGAATGGTAAAAGTCCCTCTACCTTTAACCAGGCGTCTCAGGTTCAAGTCTTCAGAATGAAATTCTCTCTTTAGGGAATTTAAAAAAAAAAAGAATAGCAAAACCAAGAGAATAATATTTACTAGCTACAACAAGATGTTCATACAAAACAAGTTGGAGAAAGTATATGCTTACTTTGGAGGCATTCCCATACTGGTCAAATAGAGCAAGAGATAAGTATACCAATAAGTTGATGTTATATCATTAAGCACATGCCCTACACCATATGCTAAAACAGACCATCTTCCCAATGGCTTTGCTTCTTCATTTTCCACATTGCTTCCAATCATGATGGAATAAGTTAAACTCCGAGAATTCAAATCCACTCGAGAAATCTCAAACCTGTTCTTATAACAAAATATATAGTAGCAGCAAATATGCTAAAAATAAATAAAGTCTTCTGCTGTTTGATGAAATGCGCAAGTTATTTCCATTGACAAACAGACAACAGGAGTATCAATGTATATGATATGGACAAGAATCCCCCTTCCCATTCAGAAGCAAAGATATTATTAAAAATTGATGTATGTTGACAACTTTCAATTAATTATTACTCCTTATGATGATTGCAGCAGTGTTTTTTCAATTATTGTCCATGCTGATTCAAGTTTTCCTATTACAAAGAAGAAGCCAATGTTATACACAACTTTTTTAATGAAATTTCACGTATATTATATTAAGAATAATTATATAGTTGGTTGCATATTAATAAACTGACAGGCCACATCTCCAATTCTGTCCATCCCTGGCACAACAGGACTATGCAATTTTCTAGGCTTGCGTTTTCACTAAATGTGGGAATAATGAAACAAAAAATTGCCTATAGTAGCTGCAGCAAGATACTTCGCAAAAACGAATTCAGGATTTGATGCGTATGAATTCTCAATTTTAGTCGGAAGCAAATTTAAGATTTTAAGTTTAGGAGTTCTGAATTTAGTTATTAGAAGTTTAGTGAGTTTTAAATGTAAAATGTTATATTTAATGAATTGTAACTACTCCTTTTGTACTATCTTATGTGACACTTTTCGCATTTCGAGATTCAAATAAGTTTATTTTTTATCGTAAGTTTTTCATAGATCCTTTTAACATTTTGACTTATCAATTATTGTGACTTATAGTACTCTATACGTAGTTTAAAAATATATAAATTTCATTTCAAAAAGTTTGAAAATCCAATACGCACATGTCCGATCAAAGTTAAATCGTTTAACTCTCGAAAAACGAAAAGTATCACGAAACAAAGGAGTAGGAAATATGAATATAGGATTTGAGCTAAAATTGTTGATTACTGCCCAAATTGGTAATTTTGTAGAAGAAAAACTAGTTAAATCCCACTTGTTGTGTTGTTTACTATATATGTATAATAGTGTTTGGACTCATCATTTTCAATTTGGTATGACAAAACATGGGTGTGGGTGTATGGATTTTGGGTACTTTCACTAAAATCAGACAAATTCAAAATAAATCCAATGATTTTTATGATTAAAACAAAAGATAAAGGTGAAATTGAAGAAATTAAAATACATTCGTATATAGAAAGTTTCTATGCCACTCTTTTAGTCTTTTCCTTTTATTTCCTCAGAATTCTCTTCTTTATAAATATCTTCTCCTCAAGTTTTTTTTTTTATTTTTTACATAGCATCTCATAATTTAGCCACACTTTATAATAAAGTTGAAGAAAGGCAACTGTTTGAGATTTTTGACAAAGTTGCCTTCAATGTATCACTCTGAGAAAATATTAGTAAATAAATATCAAATTAGAAGGACACACAAGGACCATCCATTTAACAAAGTGATAGCTTTGATTATTATGATACAAAATAAGGTTATTAAACTCATCCTATGAAGAAATTTGAAGTTAAAGACCAAAGAAGGACTACACCAACAATTGCTTCTAATCCAAAATATCTCTTTCCAATATGACAACCGGCAGATTTAGGAGCACCAGCAGGGGCACCTGTAGGACTAGATCCAACTGCAATAAAATAAATTGCAACACAAAAAGAGAAAAGTGTTTAACCTTTATATATTTGACAATATATAGAAAAATTTACGCGCTATAACGTCGTGTAAAAGATAACTACAAGTAATGTTTTTAAAAAACAGAATAATCATATATAAGATATAAATAAGACAGATAGTCTGATACAAATTATAATAATACAGTATTACGTTGTTAGTGTGTATAAGTTGAATCACCAATTTTTCAGAATTTTGTTTTAAAAAAAATTGTAGTAGTATAACTTACCAGAAGGAATGGGGCTATGTGCAAGTGGACTACCAGCAATGCTGCTTGAATTATTAGCAATTTGATAGAATACTTGAGCATCTGGTGAATTTGCAGGCAAGTGGAGAAGTGCTGCATATATCATCAAATAGTGTCAAAGATTAACTTAACCATTTTTGTTAGTACTTCATTTGTCTCAATTTATATGATTCTATTTCCTTGTTAAAAAAACTGACATATTTCTATATTTAAATATAACAATTGAATGTTAAAATTTTTATTTTACTTTTAATAAAAATAATTTATTTACTAACTAGTCTCATGCCACAAATTTCAAAAGATGTAAACTCTTTCAGATCCTTAATTTCATTTAGTTGAGACAGAGAGACTGAGTAAGGAAAACCTAAAAGTTGCATATTTAACCAATTGACATTCCTAGTAAGAGAGTGATTATTTGTGTTACATCTTTAACGACAAAAGCAAGAGTGAAACTACGAGCTAAAAACAGGCGTACTTACCAGGGCATTCAGAAATATTAGCAGGGGCTTTACAAACAGAGGGGAGTGTTAAAGCAAGTGTAACATTGAGTTGAAGTCCCAAATCAGGATCATTTCTGTCCTTAATTAACAAACAAAGACACTTCTTGCTATCTTTCAACACTTGTTTCAATCCAGTACAGCAATCTGGTGTAGGAGCTGGTGCATTACCTCCAACATAAGGCAAACATGTTGCCAGACCAATCAATGATTGTGTACACTCTTCTTTGTCCTTTTCTGTGTCTGAATTTCCAATTACACATAATATCAACAACAACACCAATCTCAGCTGATATCTCATGGTGCAAGAAACCATATTGAAATGTTTATAGAGGGAACTGAAGTGTCTTGAACTGCCTTTTGGTAGTTTTTTGTGATAAGTGGAAAAAAGTTAGACATTGCTTTGGTTCTTATATAACACTTCTTCAATCCCTAATTACTTGTCAATTCTTTTTCTTTTAGTTATCTCAAAGTAATTGTCCATTTTGAAAAATTAAAAAAAAATAATTTTTTTATTTATTATACTCTCAATTAAGTACTTTAAAAAGGAGTAGAAATTTTTAAAAATCTTAAATTTTTAATGCATCTACCACTATATTAATAATTGTTTTAATAAGAGTATCAGTTCAAAAGTAGACAAGAAATTACAGACAAAAAAAAATAGGCTGCCTTATAAAAAAAAATATGTTTCCGAGGGAATAGTCTTGAACTTTTGACCTGTCTCGGACAAAATTTTGATATCATCAAATTTTGCGAGGCAAGGAAACGTCAAAAGTTTAAGACTATTTATTTTAAGGTCATTAGTATAATTTCATATATATATATATATATATATATATATAATCATTATTTTCACTGGCCATTGAACCACTAGTTTAGGGTAAATATATATATATATAATCATTATTTTCACTGGCCATTGAACCACTAGTTTAGGGTAAATATATATATATATAATCATTATTTTCACTGGCCATTGAACCACTAGTTTAGGGTAAATTCATGTGGCAATTTTTCATTAGGTCTCATATCGTAAAGAATAATATTCCTATATATTTCGTTTTTTCAATTAGCTAATTGTGAGATTTTATTCGTACGTTCGACTGTTAGTAAAACTAGCCATGTGTTTGGATGAGGGTTTAATGAAATAGTATTACTCAACAACTTGAAAAGTACTCACTCTTGAACATTTTCAGACCTTTTCCTTTCTTTTGTCTCAAAGAATTGTTGGCTTTATTATGGAAGATTCGAAGAACCACTAATTTTGTAGGAAGAAACAATAAATTAATTTGTTGTTCAGTTTTCAATTAAGGATGTGAATACAAAATGGGACACTTTACCAACCCACTATAGGATATAAACCAATTAAAGCTGGACCACTCACCTGAATTTCTTCTTGTTATCATAATTGGTTTGTGTTGCTTAAATTTAGCCATGACAACATTTGAGCATGCTTATGATGTCATCTTCCACTTATTTTGTGGATCAAATTAAATTGCTTTACTTGTTAAATCGTGTAGAACAATGTAATCACTCTGTTTCAATTAAGTTTTAAGAAAGTATGAAAAGATTTTAATTTTATATTCTTAAATAAAAAATAGGTTAAATGTATCAAAATATTCTTTAATTATATAATCCTGAATGTATAATATTGAAATTAAATTGATAATTAAAAAGGGAAGAAGACACTCATTTTAAAACAAATTAAAATTAAGTACGATAAACAAATTGAAATGAAGGAAGTAATATAAATCGAATAAATTTTAGGAATTACATAGTTTTTTAAGGATTAAATTACAGAAATCCCATATTTTAGTTTACTTATTATCATTATCCCCTATACGTTTTATAAATCTCCAAAATCCCTCATTTCGCGCATCAGATTAGTGTATTTCGTGCATCTGTTTAGAGTATCTAACACATTAAATTAGTGTATCTCGCGCATTAGATTAGTGTATCATGTATAAAATGTACATCAGATTAGTGTATCATTAAAAAAATGTAATATACCTTACTTAACGATTAATGTATCTCGCGCATCAGATTAATGTATCAACGCTTATATTATTATATCCGTTTGAAATTTTCTGTAATTATAAACTTTTTAGGGATAAATTATAATCGTGCTTTAAAAGTATGTGATTTTTTTGTATAGTTGTAAGGATTAATATATGGGAAATTTTTCAAAAAAAATGTCAATATTTTAGCATTTAAGAGGGCTCAATAGCAACAGTTTCAATATTTAGTAAAAATGTCAAATTTTAGTTTGTTATGTATCTTATTTATGTTTTTATTATTTGTTTTTATTTACAAAGTATAATATTTATATTTTCATATATTTTTTTCCTATATAGTTATTTTTTCTTCAAAAACCTTGTATGTATTCATTTCAATATGTACAATGTCATGGTCGGCTCAAGGCCCAATTAATAATGTCCGGTTACGCTGCAACTTTGGGCCTCACGAAGGGAACAAATCAGTGAGACCCATAACCTTCGAAATGGACCAGAAAGGAGTCGGGTCGAAGTGGACAATAATTTCGTTCATTAATTTCTAATAATAAAGTATCTAAATATAATATTTGTTTTTTGATAGTTATTTAAATTTTATTGCATCGTATTATTATCTAAAGATAAATTTAAACGATACGATATAATAGAATTTAAAAAACAATCAAAACAAACAATATATTTAGACGAACAATACAATACAACCATCCAAACAAGGTCTATACTAAAATAAACAAAATCGGAAAAATGTTTAAATAACTAAAATATTAAACTCGTTAACATAATTCATGGCGTCTAATGAAAGACACGTAGGCCTCTGCATTGCATTTTCGTCCTTTTAAGTTTCATCTTCAAATTGTTTGCCCTTTTTAGAACTTTGAATTTTTTGTTTTTTGGTTTCAAATTTACGATATTAAATTTAATGACAATTAAATAATATCGATAAATATTTTAATACTATTTGTTAAAATAAATATAAAAATTGTTCGTCATGTTTCCACTTCAGCTAATTACAAGACACAATTTAGATAAGTTTGACTTAGATGCTACTTGTGGAATTTTCAACCGATTTTAGATACATAAGATTCTAATGGTTGTTAAGGAAATTACATCATAATTATTTACATTAATTAAATTATCAAATGTATGATGTACAAGGTTTGGTGTTATTCAATAAGTATAATATAATATAAAATGATTAAGAAAAAAAAACAGACAGTAGATCTAGTCTAACTGAATGCTCCATTAAAATTCGTGTCAAGATCCCATTTGCTACCAAAACCAAAAAAATAAATGAGTGGTGAAAAAAATTAGGCAAGGGAAGTGTTCTTATCTTACAAAATTTCATATGGCGTATCAACTAACGGCTAGAACTAAAGATTTTTTTTATTTTTATCGTGAATCACATAAAAAATTTTGCGATATAGGATATGATTTTAATTTATTTTACTAAATCAATTTATTGAAAAAAAATATATAGTGGAAAGAGAATTTTCACTAGAATAGGGGGATAGTTTCTAAATTTTTTCTTTATATATTGTAGTATTACTATTTTTTTCTTATCAGTTAAATTAAAACATTAGTAAAAATAATATTGAACATTTTTTACAGGAAAGTAAGATATTTTTTGTAGTGAGTAGTGACTTTTACATCAAGCACAAGAAAGACATAAAGGTGGTCACCCATCTCAAAATTTTGTATACCAAAAATCCCTCCCCACTCTCTCTAATACTAAAACTAAGAAAAATTATAAATATACCTCGACCTATTGTAAATGGTATATAAATATTTTTTTTGTCATACTTTTACGATATTGATGCCCTTGTCATTTAAAAATTAGAGCATATATACTCTTCACTCTAACATACGACTAAATAGGGAAATATGGTACCATCTTATTCGTCAGTCCGATATTTAATAAATATCGGATTCGTGGATAAGAATATGACCCATGTATGTCCATTAATTTTAAGGGATATATATTTCTCCATCAACTTAATCACCATATAAATATAAATAAATAAGGTAAACTCCTTCACGATCCAATTATCAAATGGGTTTCTTTTTTACAATTCTAAGAACTTGAAGTTTAGTGTAAATAAACTGACATTATAATAATTTAAAAAAAGTAAACATAAAGAGGTCCACGTCAAGTTCTGTTTTTGGTCGGTGACAAGTGTCAGTTGCATACATATTTAATTATTAGTACTATATTTGTATAAAGGTCTTGACCATATAATAATTCACCGGCCAGTTGGATAAATATTAGTAAAACCTCAAAAAGTTAAAATCCTACGTACAACGCACCCAAAGCTAACACTAAAAAAAAGGTCTCCTCTCCTATATACTTATTTTAAGAAAAATGATACGTACAAAATTTGATACATCTTATTTTAAATAAATCTTAACTTAAATATGGCTTTAAATTATCTAATTGAAGGTAAAAAGGTAATTTTTTAAAATAAAACAAAAATGCAACACTTAAGTTGAAACAGATGGAATATCTATTATCAAAAATGTGAGGGGACCGAATGAATTAAATCACAATATACTCTTTGCTAGAAATATTGTGTTCGAGCTCTAGTTAGAAAGTATTTTCTTTTTTTTAAAAAAAAAACGAGTCGAAATATATAACACGAAGTTCATAAATGTAATGCTTAAAGAAAAATGAAAAAGTCATTTAGCATTTAGTCAAATAAAGGAAAAAAGACAAAACCACATGAGATTTAGACCTTTATAAAAGCCATAGTAAGTCTACTCCAAAACCAAACAAGTCTGATTCTAAGAAAATCAAACTCTTATTCCCACACTTTTAAGCAAATTAAAGTTGCAAAAAAATGGCAGAATCACAGCCACCTTCAATACATTTATGTTTCTTCTTTCTTGTTCTTTTCATGTTTGTAAGTGTTACATGGTACATCAACTATGAGTCTATCTTTGAAGGCATTATGGATCAATTCAAGTTTCTTCTCATGTTGTCTCCATTAGTACTACTTTTAATTGTTCACTTACTTTCCCACTTTGAAAAATCTCTCATGTTCAATATTCCTTTGCCTGAACAAGACTCATTTCATAGAGCTGGTGGTACTCCTTGGGGAGTTGGATTTCTCCTTGTGCTTCTACTTTTCATGATTTCTTATCACTCTGATCTTCGCGAACGATGGTTTCCTCTTTTAAGTTGAAAAAAGAATATGTTATGAACAGTTACATGTAATTATCTTTTAATTCCAATATCGACAAGAGCCCTAGTGTATTTATTGTAACTGAGATGTTTAATTAGTGTTCTTCAATATTGAAAAGTTTGTTTTGTTTTTCATGTTGTGGTTATTACTTAATAATTATAGGGTTATGAATGTGTAAATAATCGTCATTTCTGGTCAACAGTATTTATTGGTTGAACATTTTGGCAGCTATATTCCATTTCAAGTACAAAACTGGCCACGAGAATTATTCACTTTTTTTGGGAATAATTATTCAGTTTGATTATAAAATTTAATTTGGAGTTGGATTTCAAATACGGAAAACTGTTCCAAACATGTTTTCCAACTCACTTCTCTCATTTCCCAAAAAAAAAAATATAACCAAACACAACTTTAACTTTATAATTTTCAAATAAGGTAGATAATTTATGGTCAAAACGCCTATGCAGTTGTGTTTTTAGGTTGAGTTGAAGTGCAAAATTGTTGGGAAAAGGTCTAAAAGAAGAGTCAGAATTGCTGCAACTTAAACTTGGCCATCACAGTGCCATAGCCATAACTCATAAATCATACTTGGAGCTTTCACCAGAGAAGATTACGTCGCTTTAGGCTCTTCTAATTACAGAACCATTCACATGTCCTATATGTTGATGTAAAAATAATGATATTGGCCACAGATTTCGAATGCAGAAACTTGGTATCAATAAACAAAAAATCAATATTTCAAATGCAATCGTTAATACTTGAAACAGCAACTTAAATAAGCTCTTTGGTTTCATTACCCATCAACAAACCAGGTGAGCCTTCATGCACATGATTGATACTATAAAAGAACCAAGTTTCCAGAACTATGGTGAAATCAACATTTTCATCCTCTGATCAAGCTTTTCTCAAGAAATAACTACATATTGAGATTAACTAGACAAGACATCATTAGCAGTATAGTTAGTATTTTTTTTCTTTTTCCAGAAAGAAGGAACTTTATCAAATCTAACCATCTAAGGGCTCCATCAGAATTGTTCTGCTGTCAACAGCACAAATGCAGAAGACTCATGTTTATTGTAATTGAACCATACGAGAAAAGAGTCCAAGGGATTATTGACAACCACATTGATAACAGGCAAAAGCCTTAGATTAATTACAGCCTATGAAACTCGGGATAATGAGCTCTCCACGTGAAATACTTTGCTTAGTCACATGGCACAGAGTTCAAACATGTGACCTAAGTCCCTTTCCCACTTGAACAAGACACCTCCGTAGTCCGTACTACCGGACCTTAACCCCCAAAAGATGGAAAATGCAAAAAGATAAAGACATCCAAAAGAGAAAAGCATAGTATCTTGATAAGGCGGGAGACATCACAAGTCAGTCCAGAAAGGAAAAGCTACATGCAAGATAGAACGGTTCAATAATCCCTTTGTCTAATATTTATGAATTATGGGCAAACGACAGGAATTGAACCAGCATATAGTGGATTCACAATCCACCCGATCCAAGTTCGATTATTTTAACACTAGCCTACCAGAATATGCATAGTTTAGAAACCCCACAGGAAATTTGCTCGAGATACTAATCGTTATCAGTTATGACAGACGGTGGAATCGCCTACTGAGACCAATCTCAAAGCATGAAGCAATACTCATAACTTCACTGAATAAACAAATTAATTCAAAAGGAAAATGTGTAGGAGGAACCATAGACTTTTAATGTACATTTTATCGCCGTTTTCCTCTTTACTAGAATGCACCCGTACAAAAAAGGATTAATAGACTTGGAACAAGTTTATCACCAGGATAACAGAGAAAAGATTTCTGATGCATCTGCATCCACCTCAATCCTAGGAAGCAAAGCTGTTTTCACTATTTGTATATTTGAGTGCAGTGTTGATGTAAACAAGGGAGATAATTAATATTATTAAACACATGACACAGTTTTGAGACAAGAAATATCAGATAAGCTTCAAAAATAAAATTTCCATCCAACAGCTCTCCAGGTAAAAAAGACTGTCACTGAATCAAAAAATTGAAAAAAGCACACAAAACTAACCAATGAGGCAGCTCCCCGTAGAGTTCATTAAGTACAAACATGCACAGAGCTCTTATTGAACAGCAAAAATCTCTCCATATGATAATATTATCCATCTATATTTGACAACAAACGTCACTAATAAAAGCTGACCTCCACATCAGAATATAATATCATCATCTTTCTGTGAAGCATGGGACAGTAAGTTATGGGCTGAACCAAGCGAAATACCTCTCTTCAAAGAAAATTCTTCAGCAGACTTCTCCGCTGCATATAGCCTAGCAGCGGCCATCTGTTTCTCTACCTCCCTCTTCTTGTAACCTTGTATTTTCTTCAAACGGAAGAAGTCTTCCCTTTCCAGTTCATCAAGTTCCCCCTTGATGTAAAGAACTGTGTTCTCCAACCGAGGCTTCACAACATTCTCCAAGGCATTGACCCTCCGATTTGTTGTCTTGATTGCTTCATCGAGAGTCAAGAATGATGTTTGCAGTGACGCAAGCTCAACAAGTAATTCAATAGATTTCACGTAAGCAGCACGGCAGGCTTGTACCTGTTGCCCACCTCTAGCTAATCCAGTCAGGTCATTCTTGGTCTCTCCTTCAGAAAAGTGCTCAAACTTGGGGAGCTTCACCCCAGCAATATTTTCCTGCCGTGATCGAACTTTCAGAGTAGCAGTCTGGACATTTTCAAGGACAACGTGCTTGATGTTCTCACCAGCAGCATATTTGGCCTCTGTCAGAGCAAATGAGGAATTTTTCATGACATCTCCCATCGATTCCTTTGTTGATACTATTTTCTTTAAAATCTGACGGAACTGCACAGTCAAAGCATCACTTTTCTTTTTTAGCAAAGCATGGCCTCTTGTTGCTCCAACAAGGCGAGCTTTAATAACTCCAAGCATCGTAACTGTTGGGACGACAACCAAACGGTTGGTTTGCCCTGACATTTTTCCAAGCTACTTAGCTGAAAAGAAGAAGTGATGTTATAATTTACATCGAAAAAAATATCACTTTGATATAGGACACAAAATTGTAAATGAGAGTGTAATTGAACATCAAAATGACCCTATCAGTTGGGTTTTTCATTTTCTTATAGACAAAGTAGTCCTTTTTTTTACCTATATTCGATGTCAGCAATAACAACATGCGCAGTATAGTCCCACAAGTGGGGTGTGGGGATGACAGAGTGTACACAGACCTTACCCCTACCAGGCTCCGGCAGGTAGAGAGGTTGTTTCGATAGACCCTCGGCTCAAAGAAAGCAATAAAGATCACAGCTTTAACCAATGAGAAAACAGTTCTGTTCACAGAAAAACCAAAAATTCCAAAACACCCAATTTCAACAACAAATAATAAAATTAAGCATAAACGACAACCTAGCAATTTCCAAGATATGAAAACAACATCAAGAATAACAAGAAGCAGCAACCCACTACAGTAGACAACCAAAACTCAGTAAAACTCTACATGCCAAAATGAACAAAACAACATTGAAACAACCCCCAAATCACATAACATTCACAGCTTGAAGAACACCTGCGGAAAAATATAGAACAAGGCGGCTTTGGTGGTGTGATTAGGTTGATTTTTTTTCTGGTCAGTTACAGAATCAGAACACGGCCAAAACTAAGTAAACTCAACATCCAAGATGAAAAAAACAACATTAAAACAACACACAAATCACATAAGTTCACAACATTGAAGAATATCTGCTGAAAAATATATCCGATGTCATTAAAAAGAAATTCATCGATTTAATTTTCATGGATAACCAAAACATCAGATGTATGTCCTAATGATGATCAAAAATCCCAGAATAGAAAAAATACTAATTATCCATAATGCTAATATCTATAGTTTCACACACTCACCCAATCTAACATTTTAAGGCATACTGATTGATATGCATTCAAGAAGCACTCTGGATAAGTTATGACACTTAAAAGTGCAAATGATTATAAGTTGAATCCATTTCATTCATTGTCGTCTTGTCAACCTCCCCTCGGTTACTGAACTCCACCCGAAATTTTCTTGAATCTCAACAAAAGAGTCTTCGAGAAAAATTCATAGAATTAGAGGAACTCCTCTTTTTGGACGAATGATCAAGAGTACCCAGAAACACATCTCGAAGAGTTTGGGAAAGGAATCCATATAGAAATGATCCAACTCATCAAGATACAAAATGAGAATCATATCCATACGATTTTGCACTTCATGACAAATACCATCTCTTCTATTATTCTAAGTGGGCATTCAAATTTGGGCGGTGAAAAGCTTATTATTCTTAACTCTTGGGCTCAATAATGTAGCTAGAGTGAATCGTCACTTGTGCTACGGTCTAATATAAGTGTCAAAGAGCAATTATATTGCAACGGTTACATTACGTGCCCCCTGAGGCTATTGATTTGCATCATCAGAACAACTCATATCTCTTTTTACTTTTAGCCGAAGTCTTTAGTTATGATTACAGGAAGGGAATTTGTGAATGACTTCATATTCTGACTTCTCATTCCATCTGGCAAAGCTCAAAATTCATTGTATTGTGAGACTCAGTTTATGGAATGGCAAAAGCTCAGATACACCTTTTTTTAAAAAAAATTATCAGGAAGGTAGATTAGTAAATCAGCACAAATTCAAAGCAATCACCATACTGGAAGAAGTAACAAGATCAAACATTATTTTTTAATTGAATCTACTAATTTGCATCAGCTTGTGCACTATGTTCTATAAGGGGATATATACCAGTGACTACTTACAGCGTCACTATATTCTAGATGAGGATTTTAACAGAATCATTGATGATTGATTGGTACGAGAAACTGCTCAGGTAATTATTCTTCCCAATGAAAAGCCTTTCGGATGAATGTTGCCTTTTTCTTGAATGTTTCTTTCGTCAAAGGAAAATTAGAAAATGAATTACTTATATTATGAGCAGAAGAACCTAATTAAATGCAACATCACAAGGTTGTATTGAACTTTAAAAATGAAACAACAGAGTTGTATAAGACTTCTTTACACAATCGAATACCAGGAAACTTGGAAGGCAAATTCTCATTGTCACTTTAATTTCCTGTCCTTTTAAACCATTAGGTTCCAGATATTCCAACCAGTTTGGAACCTTAGATTATGCTAAGCGACCATCTTGAAGACTACATAAAAAGCCGACTCCGCTGACAATACCAAGGCAGTGAAAGCTCTCCATTGGGATATGAGTCTAGAAATAAAATATTAAACACTACTTTATTGAGGTTGATGGGTAATAATATGATGGTCAATTGCTTTCTCTGGGACAAATACTTAATTATTCTCTTCCCTCAGTCATCTAAGGCCTGGGAATTAATCAGATGAAAGAGTGACAACAGGCCCCTATGGGCTTTGTTATTGGATCTTCCCATCGGTCTGAAAAGGTTTGTTATTGTTGTGTTTCTTCACCCAAAAAATCCTCCAGCTGTAGCTTAGTTTAGATCGCTATACAAAAATCTCTAAATCCGTTAAGGTAATATCTTCTTGTGCTTGATGAAAATAAAGACATTAAGTCACTTTTGCAAGATCATCTTCAAATTTCTTCAAATGGAACTACCTTATTATGTTTACTGCAGCTTTCAGGAGCTTTCACGTATCTCTACCTTCTTGTATTTTCCTACAGGTTAAACTTGTTATGAATTTATTACAAGATTCTGGTCTTTTTAAGGAGAATGTATGGAATTGATTAAGATGTTTAACATCCGTGTTTATGAATGGCCAGCTATTCCCTGTTGAAGCTTCTTCTAATTCACCAATCAGAGTGACATCTTTTGTTGGCTGTGCTAGCAGATCATTTTAGAAGCACCCATCCATGTTTACTGGAGAAAATGGCATTTGATCTTCTGTTTAAAGCATTAATCTTATTCTAAGAACAGATAAGACCATTTCAAGCTCTTTCTGCAGCTTATTCACAATATTCAAAATTTGTAAATATCCAACCAGAATGCAGTAAGAATCTTAGCCATTTATAGAAAAACGATCAATGTTCACCCTATACAGAATCATATTCTTCAACCGTGGTCACAATATTGTTCTTATTAGACCTTAGTGATACACTTATCATAAGTTCTTATTATCACTTACCATCTTATTTAGGTATATACACTATGACTATTAGATAGATGACAGCTCGTCTCGAGGTTAATTTCATCTCCTAAAGCGTCAACATTTTCAAGTATTTTTTCCGGGTTACTTTGTGGTTCAGCACAATCACCAATTTTAAAGCACCCCAAAAGTGCCAAATTTTCATATATTTAACACTTCATCTTCTTGTGTTTGATTGTAGTATAGACTTAAGTTTACGTTAGTTCTATCTTCTACCCCTGCCACAACCTGTAACTCCAGACCAAGAGACGAAGATGATCCAGCACAAGAAGTAACCAATCAAAACTCGGGCTAACGATAAAAAATAATTATGCGAAGAGAAGAGGATCCACAATAACCAACGCAGATCTCAAGCAATTGAAACTAAATCCACAATTCATCAAAAATCATTAGAAGGGGATCCATAAACTTAATAATTGCATTTAATAAACTGAATCTCACAACACAACGAAAAATTTCATGATCTAATTCCGTTTTAAGAATACCCCAAATGGCAGATCATAATAAATAAGAATGCGTATATAACTTGTAAAAATCACAAATAAGTACAGCAAATTGAAATTGCGGAATGTTGATAACCAATTCGGAATTCACTTACATGTAGATTTCGCCGGAGAAGAAAGAGATCACCGGAGCTTCAAACAAACTCAGCAGAAAAAGAGAATTGGGTCAACTACGCCAAGAACAACACTTTCAGATCCAAATTCGGACTGTCTATTACTATACCTTTATTTTATCATTGACATAAAGACAAAAAAGAAAAAACGTGAAAAAATAAATAAATAAAAGGCAAAAAAAATTCTTAATTATTATATTTTCGTAAGTTTATACTTGAAAAAATTTCTTAAACTATTAATGTATAGAAGAATAAATATTAATTTATATTTAATTTTTTAACTTTAAATTTTTTTATTTTTCTTGAATAACATTTTTCTTATAGTACAAAAAAGTATTATAAAATATCCAAAATAAAGAATTTTAAATATTTTAGTAAATCTTAATACAAATATTTATCTTTTTAAGTTTCCTATTCAATTAATCACAATATAAAATCAAATTACAGACAAAATAATTACATACCAAAAAAAAGGAAATATAAGTAAACAAATATTTATATTTTAAATTGTTTTTTTTTATACTGAAAAGTAGAACGAAGTTGGGCAGCTCTTTTCATTGAAGTATGTATGTCATTGATCATTGAATACATAATAATAATCTTTTGAGAAGAAGAATTTTTTTAATGATAGTATTTCTTAGGACTTTAATTATTTGTTAATTTTTTTATTTGTTTATTTTAACGAATTAATAAAAGATAATTTTTTTTATTTATTATATTCTCAATTTATTACTTTGAAAAAGATAGATTTTTTTTAAAAAAATTAAATTTTTAATTCATACATTTCATAATTAATAAGGATAAAATGGTAAACTCACAATGTCGTCATTTTTTTAATAGGTGTACCAATTAGAATTGAACGATTAATTAGGAATATAGTGAGTATATTTTAAAAAATAAAGGAGGGAGTTAATAATCTGGATAAACACTCAACAATAAAGTAGAATAGTTAATCAATTGAGATATTAAGATTCTTAAAGAAAATTAATGTTGAATATAAAAATAGAAAAAATAACTATCTTTTCTTAAGTTGATAAAAGTAATAAATAAAAATAATATATATGTTTTTAAAATAATGGACGAATAAAATTAAACGAAAGAGTTAATAAGTTAATTTTGACAATGAATAAGAATCGAGAAGAACTTATTCATAAATTGTATTCGCCGAATGTGTTTTATGTCTTTCTCTCAACGCTTTCTATTTAGGTATCTAGGAAGGATTTCAAGTTTTTAATGTCGTGATCTTTTCTAAAAGATACAAAATGAAATTGTGGGTTAAGAAAAGAAAAATAGGGAAAGAGATTAGCAATTTGGAGAATCGAACATTCACCGATAAAGTGAAATTTTAGGTAGCTATTCAATTGAGGTACTTAATTTTTTTTAAAAATAATAAGTAATTAATGTAGAGTATAAAATAGAAAAAATAATTTTTTTTTCTTAAATGATAAAAGTAATAAATATATATTAGTGGACAAATAAAAATAGACTGGAGAGATAATAAAGTAATTTCAATAATAAATAAGAAGAGCGAGTAATTTATTCATAAATCATATTCGCCGAATGCATTTTATTCCTTTCTTTCTCAACTCCTTTTATTTAGATATCTACGAAGGGTTTTCAAGTTTTTAACGTCATTATCTTTTTTAAAATGTGGAAAAATGAAATTATGGGTCGAGAGAAAAAAAATAGGGGAAGAAAATATTAATTTGAAGAACTGAACATTCATCCATAAAGTGAAATTTTAGGTAGCTAATTGATTGAGATATATTTTGAAAATAGTAGACAAATTAAATTAAATGATAGGGGTACTAAAGTAATTTCAATAATGACTAAGCAGAGGAAGAAACTTATTCATAAATCGCATTTGCCGAATACTTTTTATGTATTTCTTTCTCAACTCTTTCTATTTAGGTATCTTCGAAGTGTTTTCAAATTTTCAACGCCATTATCTTTTTTAAAAGATTAAAAAATAAAAGCATAATACATAAATATGACATTAACGTCAGCTGACAACTATGACCTTTAACTTTTGATGTGCAAAAATAGATACTTAAACTTGTATAAAGTTGAACAAATGAACATATTTGTCCTATATGACAATTTTGTCAAACATGACATTCAATGTGTATTATATAATATAAGATGCGTGTGTCTGCTTGTTTAATTTTATATAAGTTTAAGTGTCTACTTGTGTACATCAAAGTTTGAAGGTATAGTTGTCCGATCTATCCAAGTTAAATGTCATGTTTGTGTATTATGCCAAAAAATAAAATTGTGGGTCGAGAAACGAAAAATAGGGGACGAAACTAATAATCTGGAGATTCAAATACTTACTGATAAAGTTAAATGTTAGGTAGCTAATCAATTGCGATACTAGGATTTAAAAAAAAAATGTTGACTATAAAATAGAAAAAATAATTATTTTTTATCGATATGATAAAAATAATAAATATATTTTTAAAATAGTGGACAAATAAAATTAAACGGAAGGGATAATAAAGTAATTTCAATAATAAATAAAAAGAGAAAAACTTATTCATAAATCACATTCACCAAATGTATTTTATGCCTTTCTTCCTCCATTCTTTCTATTTAGGTATCTAGGAAGGGTTTTACAAGTTTTCAACATCATGACCTTGTTTTAAAAGATGATATTAAAATTGTGAGTCTAGAAAGCAAAAAGGGGAGGAGATTAAATATCTGTAGAATAGAACATTCAATGATAAAATGAAATTTTAGATAACTAATCAATTGAAATAATAAGATTCTTAAAAAAAATAAGCAATTGAAAGTTGAGTATAAAATAGAAAAAATATGTCTTTTCATGATATGATATACACAATAAATATAATTTAAAAATATTGAACAAATAAATTAAACGGAAGGGACTATAAAGTATTTTCAACAATAAATAAGAAGAGCGAGAAATTTTTCATAAATCGCATTCACTGAATGCGTTTTATGTCTTTCTTTTTCTACTCTTTCTATTCAAGCATTTATGAAGAATTTTTCAAGTTTTCAACAATATGATCTTTTTTAGAAAGATGAAAAATAAAATGTGGACCAAGAAAAAAATAATAGGGAAAAGGATTAACAATATGAAGATTCGAATATTCACCGATAAAATGAAATTTTAGATAGCTAATCAATTTAGACACTAAAATTCTCAAAAAAAAATTTAGTGTTAGGTATAAAATAGAAAAAATAATTATATTTTCTTGATATGATAAAAGTATTAAGTAAAAGAAACAAACATATTTTAAAAATAATAGACCAATAAAGTTAGATGGAAGGGGTGATAAAATAATATCAACAATAAGTAAGAAGAGAGGAAAACTTATTCATAAATTGCATTCGCCATAAACTTTTTTAAAAAAGATAAAGAAAAAGACAAAAACTATGAAAGATGTCTATCATTAATTGGAAAACTAATAATTATGAAGGATTCATAGTAATTACTATCGGGTAAATTTATCTGCACCAGATTTTTACACCATTTCAATACATACGATACGTATATATCATGTGTTAAAATTTATAATTTATTTTACTTAACTTTAATTAATTAACATGTGTTTTGCTTCATTAAATCACATGATCATAAAAATTATACTAATTTAACGTAAAAACTCGATGCGGATAAAATTTTTCCATTATTATATTTTAATACTTTTAGTGATCTAATATAATATAACATAGAAATTAAACTCTAGTACTCTCCATGTGGTGAAGTGTTGGAATAGTTAGAACTTTGGAGGATCCAATGACTAAAGATTAAAAGAACGAACACAAAACATATTATTATGGATGTTAATTACCTATTGAGCAATACTTTTTTCTAATTTTATTTTTTGCGAGATAACATTATTTTGGATATATATATTTATGACCCCTTTTTAGAGCGTATAAAAGGAGCTTAAATTTCAAGTCTTTATATTTAGGTGTATTCACTATAAAAAAAATATGTTTATTTCGAGATACATGCTCATAGCCATTGACGTGTGTGGCTAATAGCAAATTAAAAAAGTACTCAAAGTCTCAAACTCTTTCTTTTAGCTCCACTCAAAAAGTTTTTCTCATAAAAGACTACACTCTACGGAGATAGATGCAGATAATAGGTTAATAGACTGATGTCAGCTTTTACGGCGTAAACTTTAGACATTATGATTTGTAATAAATTTTAAAGTTATAGAAAATAAATTAAAATCACAAATAAAAGATGAAGAAATATAAATTTATTGATTAAGATAGATTGCGGGTGTAATTCTGTTGATCCTTTGATTCTACTCTCCTATAATTTATCCATGATTCAAGTACTTTCCTTGATTTTTCCATAATTCGAGTACTCTCCTATGATTTATCCATGATTCGAGGATCGTTAGTGACATATTTCTCGAACTAGGATGATTTAGAGTTGACTTCTCTATATGAATAACCCATCAATTTGCAGAGTATTCAAGATCTTAATCTCTTTATGGAATACTCTCACTCTCCGCTCACCTCTTCCCGTAGTCTCTCACCTGTCTTGCTCGCTTCATGTCTCTGTATTTCATAATGTATACGAATATCACAAATTTTATAAAATTTGTGTGTCCAAATCAATTTTTTATGTTTTAAGTATTCAAAATTAGTTTTATCAAATATATTTAATTTTTATAAATTTCATCAACATATATCAAATATTTAGTGTATTTATTTATAAATAGATGTATATAGTACTCTCTTCGTTTCAAAAAGGATGACCTAGTTTGACTTGGAATGGAGTTTAAGAAAAGAAAGAAGACTTTTTAACCTTGTGGTTCTAAATTAAAATTATGTCAAATGTACCAAAATGTCATTTAATCTTGTGGTCTTAAACATGTCACATGAAAAGTTAAAGTTATATGTTACCAAAAAAGGAAAGGGGTCATTTTTTTTTAAACAAACTAAAAAGGAAATAGGAATATATTTTTGAAACGGAGAGTATATAAAGATAAACATATATCTATTGTTAAAATATGCATCGATATTTTCATCAATAGTACATTTATACACTAATACACAACCTAAACCACAAGTAACGAAACTCAACTCATGTCATTTTTCTTTTTGTTCATTTAT